ATGTAATGAAATAATATGAAAGTAGCAATTTCTAGTTTGTCACATCAAAAAATATGATTTTTTATGGTTATTTATAAATTGAATAGTATGTAATGAAACGATATGGAAGTAGCGATTCCTAATTTGTCAGATGGAAAATAATCTTCTATGGTCATTTATAAATCGAATGGCTATGAATGAAACAATATGAAAGTAGTAATTTATAATTTGCCAAATAAATATAATGATCTTTACAAATTGAATAGTATGTTATGAAAGTAGCAATTATTAGTTTGCCAGATAAAAAAAGATGATTTTTTATATGATCATTTACAAATTAAATGATATGTAATGAAACAATATAAAGTATCAATTCCTAGTTTGCCAGATAAAAAAAAAAAGATATCTCCTGATCATTTACAAATTGAATGGTATGTGATGAAACAGAATGAAAGTAGTAATTTCTAGTTTGCTAGATAATTAAAATTGAATAGTATGTAATGAGACAATATGAAAATAAGAAGTTCCTAGTTTGCAACATTAAAAAAAAATCTTATGATCATTTACAAATTAAATGACGTGTTTTGGAACGAGTGTCACGATCGTATTAATCTATAAATGGTAGACACATTAACTGGGATGGAATGTAACATGTTGACATACATTTTGGAACGGATGTCACGATTTGACACATTAACTTGGAACGGGTGTCACGATCTGACACACTAACTTGGAACGAATGTCATGATCCAGCACACTAACAATTTGGGTATGAGTTCCATGAGATGACCACTGACTTGTCATATATGTGTATTATTGAGAATGTGAAATTGTACATTAGTCTTGAAATGATGAGTGATATTGTATTTGTTCGGTATAAGCCTATTTTAATGTTGTTGTGATTATTTGCATATGTTTCACTAATTGGAATAGTCGCGTGATCCTACCAGTGCACTGTGGTTGTGTATTGACACTACACTTGCTCTTTCTTTGTTGAGTACATCTGTACATACATCTTCAAGCTGTTGCGGTTACTGACAGACCTCAACTAGGAGATCTGTGATCAATCAAATTCAAGGGTGAGTCTGTTCTTTCGGGTTGTCATGAGTTCTCTTTTTTGCTTAGTCCATCTTATTCGGCTTAGATCAGTACTTTAGTTATTCTCCGGCTAAATGAGTTGCACCCATTTTCTTAGACTTGTTGTTCGTAGATGTTTTAGTACACTGACTTCCACTTTCTAGGTTAATTATTTTCGTAGTTATTTTTTTAGACTTCGGAGTTTATGAGAATTCCCTATTTTTCCTTTAGACATTTAAATCTACTTCCGTATCTTTAAATGTTTTAGTTTTCGTTAATTTATTTGATTGGGTTGTAGTAACGATTCTCTCGCCGGAGGGTTAGTGTGGATGTCAATCACGACGGTTTGAATCGTGACTGTTACAATAAGAATCCTTTTGTATCTTTACCAAGCAATAATATAATAGTCGAAGTAGAGCAAGACAGGGCCGATGAGTTCATTCAAATTTAGTTTGATGGAAAATTTTATTGTTTATATATAATTAATTATTTTTTGTATACATAGCAGATATTAAACTCTCATAGACTTTTTCACGTGTTTGCGTTTTTATATTTTTAAATCTATTTAATGAAAATCCTAACCCTATACTCACATGATCAAAACGTAATCTTAATTAATTAACATTATATTATATATATAAATCTTTTGAGATAAATCTTCATCACCAATGGGTGGCCAAGTTATTGGGCCTGAGGCTAAACCACAAAGAGGCCCAATTAAAAAACCAAACAATTCAATAATAGATTTGCTTGAGATTTAGATTTGATAAGAGTATAAATGGAGTAAAGTAAAATAAAAGCAAATCTACATTTTTAAAATTATTTAAAACTTCAAAATTTACTTGAGTTAAATTTGGTTAAAATGATATTTTAAAGTATAACCATTGGTTGGGAATATTATTTTCAAAAAAATTATTATTATGTTATAGTTTATATTATATAGTTTATTAAATAAATTTGCAATTGAATAAGCTTGAAACTAGATAAGTTTGCAACTAAACTAAAATAGCTAAAGACAACATAAAATAACTTTTATTTAATATATTAAAAAGTCAAATATTACATCCAATAGAACCATAAAATTTAATTTTTAAGGATCACAACAACAGAATTGACCAAAAGGTGGAACACATTGACCAGACTTATATCCAATTCTTATGCAAAATGCATTACAATCTGGATAGTTCTCACATTTTCCTTGACACACTGGTGATTTTTGTTCACCAACTCTTCCACTTGCCACCATCACTTTGACAAAACAAAAAAAATAAAATGAAATGAGAAATAATAAATGTTGAAATGAACGAGTCTGGTTGAATCAGAATTTTCAACGAAAAGAATCAAATTAGAAAGAAATAAACATTCGTCAAACAAGTGGATTGATTCATATCTACTATAAAATGTAATTTTCTATCAGAGTTCGTAATTCGAATAAGCCCTTTTTATCCTTATAGCTATAAAAACAAATATTTAATTTAAATATTAATAATAAATATATGAAATAGATGAGAGGATTCAATGTGGTAAAACCTAGTTACACCTCCTTAGCTCCGCCCTTGAATATAAGTAATTGATCTATGAACATGCGATGTAAAAAAATTTCTAAAATAATTTTTTGTATTTTTTTATATTAACTTCTGCATCGAATAAGCTTAACCAACGCAAAAAGATATGATCAAATTCAAAACGAACACGATGGATTTTTGTGAATTTATAATCAAATGAATAGAAACAAAAATTTACATATATACTTACCAACTGTGAGAAGCAAGAGAATGAGAAGAGCACTTCTTATGATTTTTTCAGCCATTAGAGAAAAAAGACTGATTTTGATTTATATAATTTAGGGTTTATAAATTGACTTTAGAGTGGTACCATAGTATATATAGGTGGTAACATATATATAGTGAGTTTTATTTTTTGTTTAAGAAAACTTTTTTGTACTATAGTATATTTTGGTCAAAATTTATACTTAAATGTGTGACTTTTTTTTTTATGAAATTAATATAAGTTCAATTAACTTGGTCAATCTTTAAAATATTACTTTTAACAAAGATTATCCTTTCACATATTTTTTTAATTTGAGCAATTAATGGTTTGTCACCTCATATGTTAGATTAACGTAATCTTCCTTTATTTTAGAATATTACTTTTAAGTAAAAATTATCCTTCAAATGTTCCTAATTTAAGCATTTTTAACGATTTGTCACTTCCAAAAATCACGTGATAAATTAATCTAATCATTCTTAAAATATTACTTTTAACAAAGATTAATGTTCTAATGTGCTTAATTTAAATACTATTATCTCCGTCCCATTTTATATGTCACATTTCGAATTTCAAGAGTTACACAAGTTTATATTTGATCGTAAATTTTTCATAGATCTTATAAACATTTTGAAATTATTAATTATTGTGACTCATAGTACTTTTTACGTAGTTTACAAATATATAAATTTCATTTCAAAAAATTTGAAGATTTCATGCTCAAATTTTCGATCAAACTTAAACTATTTGACTCTCAAAACTATTTAACGGCTTGTCACCTCACATATAAGATTAATCTGATCATATATATGACTTAAATTATTATTATTAACAAAAACTATCATTCAAATATTACTAATTCTACCACTCTTATTTCGTATCTTTTAGAATAACATAACAAATTCACCTATTACCTTCAAAAAACCTATTTCATATCTGATTAATTCAAATTCATATCGTGTAGTAAGTCACACGCACCACTTAACTAGAATATAGTAGAAGTTCATTAATTATTGATGGGTCAAGAAAGGTAGTTGTTCAAAGTTATGCAACATATTAATGTGTTTTACTGCATTCTAATTGCTAGATGTAACTGGTCGCCTACATTCCAAGTCAGAGAAAATAACTTTGCTTTAATGAGACTGATAAATGTGCTAAATGAAAAATAAAGTATGAAAAATACTTTCAAACGTTTCAATTTATGTGATAATATTTAATTAAAAGTCTATTTAAATTAATTTATTTTAAAATTTTTAAAGTAGTTATGTAGTGTTTTCTTTAGACCGTTGTGTCTAGACCACTTCTCATCAAGCAACAAGTGGTATCAGATAACTCTATTCACCAATGCTAAAGTAGATGGAAGAATCATTTAGTGTTTTTTTTTGTCTTCGCTGAGTTTAATTTGAACCCAGAGTTCTCAACTACTTCATTGACCACTATACTACACCCTCGGATGTATTTAGAAACCCCAAATAATCTGTAACCGCTACAACTTCTGTCACAATCTCTAGCCTTTCGGGTTACTTTTTATGCACTGAACAAATCTCTCAATACCTAATAGCTTCTAAATTATCCAAAAGAAAATGTAAATTGCACTAAGCAAGCCTTGTATACATAACAAACTCAATTTAAAAAGTATTGAAGAAATCAAATATATAAGTCACTTTATAATAGATAATAAAGTGCAATATTCGATATTCTTAATATAATCTGATCAAATTCAATTTAAGTATGTTAACTATAAATCAACGCTTTTAACATGATTTTTTCCCATAAATCCGTATTCGGATCTGATTTATTTACTCGATAATTCATCCAGTGACTTTACATTCGCCAAAGAAGCCCCAAGAAGCATCAAACATTTCCGATGAGATAATTGTCCTACTAAAAAAGCAACAAGTGTCATACAAAGAGCAATAAGAATTACATGCATGGCCTCTGAATGGCTTGAATAACGTGAAATACTTTAAATCATCATATCTTTGGAATTTGTTTTTAATTTTTGGTCCACCTAACTTTGTCATGTCAATAGTCAATACACAGAAAAAAGACTACTCTCGAGATTGTTAGGGCTTTATTTAATACCCTTTCATTTACTATAAAGTATTTACCTTCTTTAATTTCTTCAATTCTCACAACTGTCCCCTCCCTTTTTTTCACCCTATAAATACCCCTCATCACCATTTTTTATTCCACAACAATAGTAGTAAAAAACATTACCTTATATTTTCTTGTGTGAGTGAAAAAATGGCAAGTAATTGGTACATAGTGTTAGCGTTTGCACTTGTAGTACTTGTCCATGTTGTTACTGCAAGAAACATTCCTCAGGTTTGTTGTTTTGCGATAAAAGTTATCTGTTACTATTATTTTTATTATATTATATATATAATAAGAGTAAGAGTGGTGGGAGGGGGGAGATAGAAGGCAAAGTACAGATTTGATGAACTCAATAACTTTTGCTCAAATGATATATATATTTAAATATGTACAAATATTAAGTTTGTAATTGATCCTGTTATTAATTTCAGAATCCTAAATTTTAAAATAATTCTGACTTCATCTATGAATTTTACAATTTTTTTAGTGATTGGATAGTGTAAAAATTAAACTTCTACGTATACTAAACATTATATATTATTGTAGCGTGCATCGTTACGTATTTCTAACAAAAAGAGTTCCTACTTTGTCTGCTTCAGGCTCAGACGGAGGGTGTAACGGTAAACACGGAGATTATAAGTAAAGCTCCAACGCCTAGCAAAGGCCTTGATGACAAAAAGAATTTCATTTCATTTGGTGGAGTTGGTGGTTGGGCAGGAATTGGTGGTGGTTTTGGTGGTGTGTTACCTACTTTTGGTGGCATTGGTGGCGCTGGTGGGATAGGCGGTGCTAGTGGTATCGGAGGGCTAGGTGGTCTTGGTGGCGGTGTTGGAGGACTTGGTGGTGGTGGTGGTGGTGGTCTAGGTGTTGGTGGTGGAGTTGGTGGTATTGGTGGCATTGGTGGTATCAAACCCTAGGAGCATTTTAATTTGTTTGTGTAATTTTGTCTAATGAAACTTTATTTTAGTATTGCATGCATATCTAATTATTATCCTAAGTTTGTATTTTTGAAGTTTTCATGTATTATTAGGTAGTATTTTCCTAAGTTTATTAGGATATGATACTACTTGTTTAGGTTCAATTTTCAAGTAATTGGAAGTCATGTTGGTTTGACTTGTTTCTAAGTTATCATCTACTATATGTTTCTAGCTGAAAATTATTGCTTCCTTTTGTCCTATACAGTATACCCTTCCGTTCTATATTAGTTAATCTTTTTTCATTTGACACGGTGCTTAAGATTAAATCATAAAAAAGAAAATAATTTTACTAATTTATTCCTTAAAAACATCTTGGAAAATTTAAAAACAAATATGAACACTTTCAAAAAGAATTAATTATAAAGATAAATAAGAAAAAAAATTTATACTTTCTTGATTTAGTAAGGTGATCAACTTATATGTGACACGAAGGAAGTACTAAACAGAAAGAAAAAAAGAACCAAATGCATAAAGGTCCTATCGTTCTAATTCGAGTGAGTCTAAACTGGTGAGACGAGAAGATCTAGATCGAAAGCTCTATTAGGTGATTACATAAAGCTAGCTTTGAAATTTTTAAATTTCTAATAACTAAGCTATTACTATAGTAAAATATATAATGCACAAAAACATCATATACAACACTAAATTGTCAAAGCAATATAATCATGAGATGTTATATTGTTATATCATGTTTATGTTTTTTATAATAACATTTCGTTATAGCAATTTAAAAAAAATTCTAGACAAATGAAAACGATAAAATTTCTGTCTAATTATTGTCCAAATTGTGCAAAAGTTCTCTAAGCTCCTGAAATTCTGCTTTTCTTCTTTTTTTTTTGATTATTTTGCGTCACTTTCTGTTTGTAACACATTATTAGTCGATACACTTTCTTCCTTAATTTCTTTCTTTCTTGTTTTACTTTAGAATTCAATATTCACTTTATAGAATTAAGCAGCTAAGAAGGCAAATATTATGTCACTTTTAACCACAAAAATGGTCTTTTTGGTACGTAAAATATGTTTATATTTGTCAATTCACGTGAGGTACATAGTTTTTTCTATGTATATATATATGTGCATTGTCTACTCAACAATTATAAGCATTCAAGGTGATTTAATTCCTTAAATTTTCATAATTTCAGAGGCATGACTCGATTATTGTTGTTAGTGTTAGCATTTTTTCTCATGATGATGAACATTAATATTCGTCAAATTTCATGCGCTCATCCTGATATAGTGACCATTCCTTCCCCAATAATTAGCCCCGCATCTTCACCATTACCTAGTGGAGATAGCGGTGCAGGAGGTGGAGGAGGAGGAGGAGGTGGAGGTGAAGGAGGTGGTACGAAAGGTGGTTATGGCTATGGAAGTGGTAGTGGCTTAGGATGGGGACGAAGTGGTGGAGGGGGTGGTGGTGGTGGAGGAGGTGGTGGTGGAGGTAGTGATCGAGGACAACGTGGTGGAGGTATTGGTTGCGGTGCGGGTCAGGGTTCTAGTGGTAGCGATGGAAGTGTTCCAATTCCTAGTCCTAGTGTCAAGCCTTGGACGACCAGGAATATTTTCCCAGGCTTTTACTAGTCATGAGTCATGATTAGTAAAAATGTCATTGTACTTACATAATTGTAATATGACGCAATAATATTTTCTTTTGTATTATAGTACAAAAGATAAAAATAAAGATATGATTATGAAATCACTTATGTTTATTATACATGCGTGTTTGAACTTTAATAGTGAATGAGTATTTGTGATCTTTCAATATATATATATATATAATTTCAAATTGATATAGTAATATTGTTGTATTTTGATTAGTAGTGTTTCAAAAAATGTTTTTGGGGCGAGTTTCGTGTACCAAAAACGTTTCGAGGTGTAAATGAAAGACGTATATTTATAAGACGTAAGTTCTAAAATTTGAGGCATAAGTCCCGAGCATAAAAATACAAAAGTATTTTCAGATGAATCGAGACGCTTTATAAAACACAAAAGTATAAAACACCTCCATTCGGTTTGATTTTGATTTTGGCATAATCTTGACCAAAGTCGCAATTTAGACGCAAGTAAAGGTTTTTTTCCATCTAGTTTCTCGCGAATAAAAAGACTAAAAAAATTTGTTTTGAGTTAAGCTAGAGTATATCTTAAGTTAAGGGATTGACACCCTTATCTTAAAATCATTCAGCTTCGACATAAAAGTTAAGGCTAACCTATATCGTATAAAAAATTTAATGTTATACTCTATTATAAATGTTCATTTGATTATATGATCTTTTTTACGGAGATCGACAACTACTATAGAATCTACAAATTAACACTATAAATACTCACAAAATTATCTTCTTTTATTCAATTTTTTTTTAAAAAAACATTTTATCCTCAAAATAGTGAATGGACGCAAAAACATAAAAAATAGTAAAAATTGGGGTGCCTGTGCAAATACTAAATCGAACAGGCATCATTATGTAAATAAACTTAAATCAAAGGGTACTAACAAAACTTGTAAATTAATCCAAGTCCCTCTCGTTCTCACTATAAATAATTTTCCTTCCCTAAAGGCGGGAAAAATTGGGAAGAAAAATTTGCACACAGAGAAAAGATGAAGAACTCAAATTCAAAATCCGGCAGAGATCTACAAAGTTTGGTTGAAGCTATCAAATCTTCAGATGTAAGTTTTTTTCTCTAATTTCACTCATTTTGATTCATCTGTTGTATCATTTTTTTTAGAAATTCTTTGTATTTTCAGAATTTATTTCGCCATAGTTTCGTTGTTATGAGTTACAGTTTGATACTGGGAGTAGTTTTACGTTGTTTTTAAGTTTAGTTTCTCACTTAAGGCGCTTGTGGTTATTGTGTAGAGGTCAAATTGACTGATTTTAGTTTGTCATTTGATTCAACTGTTTGCACCGTTTTCTGTGTAAATTTACTCGTTTTCAGATATTAATTCGATAAAATTTCGTTATTATGAGTTGCGTTTGATACTGGAAGTAGTTTTTAGGTTTAGTTTCTCACTTTAGATGCCCTGTGTTGATAGTGTAGAGGTAAAATTGACTGATTTCAGTTTCAGTCATTTGATTCAACTGATTTGCACTGTATTTGATGTAACTTTACTCGTTGTCAGATGTTAATTCGATAAAATTTTGTTCTGAGTTGCAGTTTAATACTGAAAGTAGTTTTACGTTGTTTTTAGGTTTTTTAGGTTTAGTTTCGCACTTTAGATGCTCAATGTTGATTGTGTAGTGGTCAAATTGACTGTTTCAGTTTTAGTCATTTGATTCAACTGATTTTCACTGTTTTCTCTGCAAATTTACTCATTTTCAGAGGTTAATTCACTAAAATTTCGTTATTGTGAGTCACATTTTGATGAAGTTGCTGTTGGAAATAGTGTAAATTGTCATTTAGGGCTTAGTTTCAGTAATTTTTGACTAGATTCTACTTGTTTCCCGCTCTTTGGTGCCCTAGAGCAAACTGACTTATATCATGTTTTGTCATTGGATTCAACTGTCGTATCATTTCCTCATCACGTATTTTAAAGTTTCTGTATAGTTTCAGAAGTTTATTTCCTATAATTTCATTGTTATATGAGGTCTAGTTTGATTATCTAGAAGTTATTCTAGATTAAATGTGAGGCAGGATTGTTGTGTGATGTCCTGTTTGTAGATAATGCGTTGAGTCTGCCAAATTAAAATGTTTTTAGTGAACCTTCTCTATTAAACAGCATGTAGAAATTTCTGTCGCCTTTGTAGCTTTATGGGCATTGTTCCTCCTGTCTAATGTATCTATGTTTTTTTGTTCTTTTCGGATACTTATATACTTGTTTTCTCTTCTTGATGGCTTTCACTAAGTTAAATGTTTTCTTGGATCATACCTAATAACTCTTAGCTTTTTGCAAATCTTAAGTTATTCCTTGATATAATTTGCTAGTTATTTACATCCTAAGCTTGATTCAATAGTGTCGTTTCTATCTCACAGGTGGTTGAAAATCGTGTTGAATTGCTTGATGAACTTGGTGAGCTAGATTTGACTGAGAAATCAGAAGTGGCTTCTCTTATAGAATCCATACAAGTATCCTGATGACTATTAGACATACTTTTCTTGATTTCACCGTGCAATGCATAGGTTAATTGAATTGAGAAAGGAGAATTTAGATTTCCATGTAAAAAGGAATCATGAGTCAAAAACACCAGGCGATTTCTTCCCATCTGTCCTAGCCTCTAGGTAGAGTTAACTGGTTCCTGATGTTGGTGGGAGGTGACAAGTATCCCACAGAATTAGCTGAGGTGCGCGCAAGTTGGTCTGGACACAACAGTTTAAAAAGAAGAAGAGATGAAATAGAGAATTCATTTGTTGTCTGTAAAGAATAATAAACTGGGAACTAGATTATGGTTTTATCATCATTGCTATTGGTGTAGGAATTCCATAATCCAGTTACAAAGAAATAATTATCTATAATCACATAGAGACTACAAAAGAATTTGGTTGATAGAGCTGATCTTCCTAGGCTTGAGATAATTTTCCATGATTTCTTCTTTGCTATGTCTAACTTGTTTATTTTTGTAAGCAAACAGAACTCCTGATAATATGTAAGGGCTTTGGTAGAATGAATAAATGCAAGCTACACTAAACCAAGTCAGCTTTCTTTCTTCATGTTTTATGATTAATGTTGCAACCAAATATATGTATTTTTTCGGAAGATGTGGATCTCATTCTTCTGGTTTAGTAAATCAGCTCGTTTGATCTCATTTTAATAGATGCTCTTTGTTATCTACCTTAACATTTTACTGGACACTCTGGGAAGACTTCACATGTCTTGACATTTCTCAATGCAAATTGAACAAAACCATTTTGCACGTGGCTGCAAAATATTTGCTGTCTGACATATCTGCAAGCTTAGGGCAGTTTCTAGGCCTAGGAGCCAAAGTAAGTGTTGTTTTATTCCTCATCTTCTTAATTATGTAACCAGTATTCATGATTATACATATTGCTTACATTAAGTTCTTAATCACTAGGCTGCTGTATGGTGTAAAAAGCATCTACAGATGACACTCATGTCGACTCAGGACTCACCTGAAGAAGAACATAGCAGCCTCTTTTATCAGGTCAAATCATTACTTTTTAGTGTACTAAAACAATATGACTGATAAATCTGGATTTGGTTATACATTTTTAAGAGAGGTTCTCATCTATCCTTTGAGTCCTTGAGATCAATCTAGTTGCAATTTTCTTTCTATGAGTGTGAACTTTATATCATAGTCATCCATCTGCATAACAATCAGAAGATTATAATTACTTGTCTTGTGAAAGCGGTGAAGGTACTCTCTTTTGTTGCTTTCCCTTGCATGTAGACCTTTTTCCTTTGTAGTATGAATTTTTTCTCCATTAACTTTGATAAATTCGCGGCATTTTCTAGTTACAGTGTCTGGCGTGGCAATGTCAAGTACTAGCACCACATGGATATGCAAGTGTAGTCAACCAAACAAAACTGACCAAACTATCTGTAACACTTTGAACTGAACTGGACCACATGAGTTGAGTTTACCTGTTGATAACATTGTTGTTGTGTGTCATGAAGCTGATTGATTTAACTGGCTAAACATCCAAACTGAACTGTGCAAAGTGGAACCCCCTTGTGGATTCTGTAGTCATGTTTCTAGCATTAGACATTTAGCTGGTGATTGTTTATGTGCCTTTGCATTTCCTTCAAATGTAAGTTTCCTTAACTTTGAAATGCATGTAGCGTCTGACAAGGCTATCAAGTTGTACTTTTCTAACAGATCTTGTTTTTATCAGTTGCTGTTGGATTTGCTTGGCTACTCTGCCTCTATTTTCGCAGCTTTGACCAGATACCCCTCTGCGGTTGACAAGGGGTTAATGTCTATTATTGAAAATTTCATCTTGGAGGAATTAGACCTTATAAAGGGTTGTATTTCAGCAGTGAAGGTATTGATTTCTGATTTATACTGCTCCACATGTTGTGTTTCATGTGAGTACTCTTATTCTAGCTTTTCCCCTCTTCTGGTAAGTACTAGTTTCTCTTACCCCAAAAATGTCATGAAACTCTTCCATCATGGAGCTATAATTGTTATTTGTGATACTCTAAATATTAAATCGTTAGCACTGCATAAAACCACTGTCATTACGATGTCCAAACTTGCTTCAGAACCTTTGTTTGTCCAAGTACCTGCCACCATGCCGTTGCAGCAGTTTAGCATTCGAGTTAAACTTTTATTACATTGGCCATTTTGATATAAAAAACTGGTCAAATGTTTCCAATTTTTTTTATACTACTAAAAAGCAACAGGGTGCGCATCACTTGGTAACTATATCGAGTAACGAGTACTCAAGTAATTGCTTGATTTCGTTGGACTTGTAACAGAAATATAAGTTGGGAGATGTTGACCAAACCTACTGAGTGTTGGTCGAAAGCCAAAGTGATTTGCATATTCTTGAATTGAAAAAAATTTCTCAACCAAATATTTGCAGATAAACTTCTCAAAAACCATAATATTGGATTTAACCATACATTGAACACAATACAGGAATTGGTCGTATAGAAGCAGTCATAGTACTTCCATTAATTAAAAATGAAATGGACAAAAAGAAAGCACTTGTACCGCCTTTTTATGTTTTACTCATATCCTTTGCCCGTCTTTTCTTTCTGAACAACCTCTAGCAAATATGATACAGAAAATGCCTTCTTTTCTCACAAGTAGGTGTAATAGTCAATACATGCAGAATACATACGTAGTTATATGCTGTTATTATCTTTAGCTGAACTTTTAAGGACTGTATGCTTTTGTTATCTTTACTGCTCTAAACTTTCATGATTATCTCCAGGCAATTTCCTCATTTGGTTCAGACGTGCAGAAAATTGCATTGGAAGTTCTTGATGCTCTGATACGATTGTGTAAGGTATATTCCCATGGCGTAAACTGGGATTCTTACCTTAAGATGGAGGAGGAAAGAAAAGTTATGGAAAGTGAAGAGGCTGAAAGTGCAGATCATGTCAACAAGATAATGAAATTAACGGTTGAAAAGTTGTGTGAGTTGGGCATCCTTGCAGCTAATGATGGAGGAAATCTTGTGAGCTTAATTAATCTGTCATGGAAAGGTGTAGTTAGCTTACTTCAGCTTGGCAAGGGTTCTTTGGCTGTAAAGTTGAATATAGGAGACATTATTCTGACTCTTATTTCTCTGGCTAATGGATCTTTGGGATGTGCGGCTGAGACTTGGTCATCCCCATTGAAAGAAGCAGTTTCTGCAATGGAAGCTAGAAGAGTGTTTCTTCCAGTCAAGTTTTACCTGATTAATGCTGTGCGAATTATCTCTCAGTACCCATCCGAGGCATTTTATGTGTTCAAAGATATAATATTATCTGTCATAATGATCTCAACCTTTAGAATATTCCTCATTAAAGATGATCAGCTCAAATTTGCTGGTGATGCAATTTCAGAAATCTTGGAGCCGACATCCTTTCATATGCTTAACTCTTTCCTTAACTCAGCTCAAGTGAAATCAGAGCAGAAGTTTCAAATTTTGGAGTGGTTGTTTGGCGACGAAATTGATTTAGATAATGTCACCATAGGGTGCAATATTAATCAAGCTAGTTGCATGAGTGCAATATTTGCTGTAAGTTCTGGCACTATGCAGGGAGCAAAGATACTATTTATTGGTCGAGTAGCCTTGTTTGTAAATCTTCTGAAAAACTCACCTGATATTGAAGATGATGCAAGACTAGGGGTTGCTAGAAAACTTGGATGGTTATTGTGCATCTGCACTGATAAAGATGTGTATTCTTCCATTCTTGTCTTGGAACTTCCTACAATGTCTCGTACTAGTCAAAAACAAGAATCCAATGAGCCCCTTTTCCATTTCATTATTAATGCCTTGAAAACCTTCATGATAGTGACCTCTTCAAGTCAAGCTTGGTGTGAAATCGAGTCGTTTCTTCTTGAAAACCTTTTTCATCCTCACTTTCTTTGTCGTGAGATTGTTACTGAACTTTGGTGCTTTATCTCACGTCACGCTGACGAAGTTGTGGTAGACGACATTGTTGAAAAGTTCTGCTCATTAATGAAGTACACAGAAGCTCCGGAAGTTGCACTAAATCCTGATAGTCTGGTCAGAAAAATGGCGAGATTTCTCTGTGTGCTTGTTACATCTGGTCCAAATTCTATGGTAGATAAAGTTTATAAGACAGTGGTTGGATTTAACACATCAAACTATTCATCAATTACTTACTTAGCTTTGCTTATGGAGGGATTCCCACTAAATGCACTTTCAGAAAAATTGAGAAGTGATGCAAAGCAACAAATTGTAACTCAATACTTTAACTTCCTTGGGAGTTTTGGGGGTACACTACCGAGAGAAGGCGGCTCTGCTGTTTATGGTGCTCCAGTTTTTGCTCTTTCTGCCGCTCTGCAGTTTCGGTATGTGATCAGCTCTCCTTAGCATGAATTGTCTAATTCTCTCTAACTTAATTGGCTAAATACAAATGTTTAATTCTTGTTAAACAGAAACACGGAATGTTGAAATATACAATTTTAAGCTTATTGCGGACCAGAACTATTTAATTTTTTCTTATTATCTGCATTGAGTGATAAAATAAAAGACTTCGAAAGTTGGTGTTTTAGTTTTAATGCAAATGACTATCAGTGTTAGTGTCTTTTGGCCTCTGCTTTATAATTGCAATAGATGTTCTTTTATAAGACACTATCTATGTTTTTACTATTGATAAGTTCAAATTACCAACTTAGATTCAATATTTCCTTTTTTCCTGTCTTTTTCTTGTTGCAGCCTAATCAGCATATCAGATGCTGAGATGAAGACTATAAAGTTCCTTGTTGCTATTATTCACAAGTACAGAGAATGTTCAGACATCAAAATAAAGGATAAATACCGCAGGCTTCTTAGTGAGACACTAGGAATCATTTCTAACATGAAGCATTTGTATACTTCCAATGAGATGGAAGAAGTCATTTTGGCCCTTCAGAACCTCTTCATCTCTGGACCAGCATTATCAGATGGAAAATTATTTCAATGCAAGCCAAACTTGTCATCTTTTATGGCTGGCCTTGGTGAGATTGAATTGGAAGACCGAGAGGACAATGCAGTGAGTTCAGCTGTGTGGGAGCTGTATCACATGTTGCTTAGAGAGCGACACTGGGCACTTGTTCACCTCGCTATCACAGCCTTTGGATATTTTGCTGCCCGCAGTAGTTGTAATCATCTCTGGAGATATGTACCCGAAGATGCAGCTCTTTCGTTTGATCTGTTAACAGGAAAAGAAGCTGACGAGGAGAGATTTATGTCTGACCTGAAAACATTTCTTGACAAGGAATCCGCATGTCCAAAGATAAAACCTTGTCCGGACACAGTTAGCATGTTTGCTATGGATGGTCAAATGCTGAAAGAGACCTTGAAAAAGATAAAAGATGTTGATCCAAAGCTTATGGTCTGTGATCCTATGGAGGTTGACAATGAAAAGCAACCCAATAGAAAAAGAAAATTTCCTAACAGAGTTACCAAAGGAGTGGAATTACTGAGAGACGGCATGAAGGTTATGGGTGATGCTCTTTCTGAGTGGAAGCATAACCATTTCGACTCCACTGATATTCGTGAAAAATTCTTGACTCACTTCTCTCACCTGGAAGATGTGGTTACCCACTTAGTGAGCCTTGCTGACAGTGGCTAACTTCTACTGGAATAGTTCACTTCTGCAGTGACTGGTGCAAATTATCATCAGGTATTTGCATTGGACTTAATCTATTATGGATAATGGTGCATCTCTAAATTTGTCTATAATTCTCTAAGTTTAGTTTTGGTTGAACTCAGGATAGCACGGTATGATTTTCTTTGTACTTGATTTTACATATAAGTGAAGTAAGTTCAGAATTGACATAGTTAAAACAAAAGTACTTGTACACTGTTGGAGAAAATAAACGTAGTGAACATCTTGAAATTTTGCAAGTCATAGTGGTATTGGGTTATTAGACTTTCAATACATAAAGATCTCTTTGACGAATCCCAGTGCTGAGTCTAGGTCTTATGAATGACCACTAAAAACTATAGGACAAGGACGTATATAATGCTTTGCATATAAGATGAATCCAATTGATAGCGGAAAACTAATGAAGAACATACTAATGATTATCATGTCATAAGCAAAATTCAATTCAACTTTGTTGAAAAGCATTGCTCTTACTCTATATATTCTAGGGAGTTTGAAACTTGCTTACCATATTTCATAGAACATCATATCCAGTATATTTCTACAAGTGGGGGCTGAGGAGGGTGGGGTGTATGCAGCCTTATCCCTACCTTGTAATTATAGAGAAGTTGTTTTCGATAGACCCTCCTCTCTAGTAAACTAGACTAACGGTGCAAAAGATTTCTTTTAATAATGTCTTTCAAAAAAACATTTTAAGAGATGTAGAAATTCATCTACGAAGAAACTACCAAATATTATTCACCTATGAAACAAAGAAATAGTATGAGATTAAATTTCTTCTTCCCACTCATAGAACCTAAGTAGTAGGAAGGCTCCATTCTCATTGATCTGCCAAGTGCATCTTTTGTCAGCACACCTATTCTTATCCCTTTGGTAATCAAAGAAAACCCAACTATCTCCATAATATTGACCAGCTCCATAATCCATAAAGCATGACAATACATAATTACCACCAGGTTTGGGGAGGTCAACGTCGACTGTAAAAGTCTTACTCGTGCCTTGTGTTAGTGTAATTGGTACATATTGCAATCCGTTTAAGTCACACTCTAAGTGTAACTTATTTTTGAAGGATATCGAATCGTAGATATCAATAGTGTATCTCTCTGGTTCAGAAGCTACAAATAAACAAGTGATGAACAAAAAAAATAGAAAAAGGATTGGAATGTTTAGTACTATAGAAGAAGCCATTTGTTCTCTTTTTGGTTTTTCTTCTTCATTCTTTAGGATTATTATATCCTTTATATAGTACATAGTTTTCTTGTTCCCAATCTTTACAATGAATTGATTTCTATGAATATACAGTATCTAATTTGAAAAGGATATCTGTTCTCTTCCAAATTAGGGAAAGTTTTATTTTGTATATCTTTATATATCCAATTTGAAGTTTTTCTCATTTTAGCCAAATATATAATTATTTGATTTCCTTTTTTTTATTTATAAAATTTAGATTTTCTGTAATAGGTGCATTCTTTGTGTATATATTAACTATTATATGAATGAAGTAAAGATTGTGTAGGATTTTTATAGTACTAGATTAGTGTACATGCATTTTTATGCAAGATATCACACCTAGGTTCATCTCTATAAAATTGAACAGTCATGTTACATAAAACAACAGACTATAATCAGCCAGTATTGATTTTAATAGGATATCTATGTATATTGGTACCCGAGACGAGGGTCTCTTAATAAAAAACTCTCTATCTCCACGAGGTAGGGGCAAGGTCTAGTTATATATACTCTACCCTTCACCCTTCGGAGTGGCCTAGGTTTGAGCTTGGGACTTTCATGTTGGAGGTCTGAAGTTCGAAACCCCTTGCCAGCGAAAGTAAGGAGTTTGCTTTCTGGGTCGAGCTCGTCACACCAGGATTGTTTAGTGCGGGTTACCTCTCCTAGGTGGTTTGCGAGCTATTGCATAGGACCTGGGGTTTTACCATGTGCTCACCCAAAGGATAGTGGTTGCGGATTTCCCTTGTCATAAAAAAAAAATACTCTACCCTTCAATTGGTTAAGTTCTTAATTAATTGAAGTTAAATGGAAGACTATATAAAACACTACATCATAACATATATCATCAGAGAGAACATTACAAGGAGTGCTTCTAGGCCTTCATTTACTAAGAATTTAAAGTACGCTATGATCATCATAGAGTTCATAACATATTGTCATGATGACATTGTCCAATTGAAGATTAGATTCTGTTGTGAGTTAACGAAGAGATATAAACCAGTTGGCATTAGATTCCAAGTGCACCTTTTGTCCTCAATTTCACACCTAGGTATATCTCTACTACAATTCAAAAGGAAGAAAACTTCCAGACCTAGGACCAGAAGTCATGTTACAAAGTAGTGTAGCTTCTGCCTGGGTGCCAACATCAACATAATATTTATGAAAATGAGATTGTCTAAGACTAACTCTTGGTTGAGTAATACCATTAATTGCACAATTCATGTCTAATGGATCGACTAACTCATCGATGACATATACATTGAAGAAAGGCATGAAGAACTTTGTAGTTGTGCCAAAGAAAGGGGAATGATGATAGAAAGAAAAAGAGGCAAACTAAAATTGACAGTGAAGAAGACATTTTTTTCTGTTTAGTAAATAAGTTTTTGGAGTTTTGAGTTCTTTAAATAGGTAAAAACATAAGAAAAAAACTAGATAAAGTGATAAACACAATATAGGTTAGATTGTGTGAACTATCTATTTTGACAAAAAAAACTTTGAAATGATTTCTATTAGAAAAGAACTTTAAATTTGATTATTAACTTAATTCTTTGGAAAATAAGAAATGTTATGAGAAAAATTTAAAGATATTTTTAGGAAAACCTACCAACACTCTTTAATTTATTAGAACATAAATTTTTGAAAAAATAAAATGAAAATATTAAGCTCCGATATAAGCCATAAATTTCTGAGTAAGTCTTTATATGAAAAAGTATTTGTCCTAGCAAAACTAGCTTAACCCAACTCCTTCCGTTTCATTTTATATGTTTCAGAATTGAATATGAATTTTTAAAAAGTAAGGACTAATCCTTAATACTTTTTGTAGATAAATTAAAAAGGAAAGAAAGACAAAATTAAGAATATTATATAGGTTAGAAGTTTTATAGTCAGCAGCTCATAATAATCTTCAAATATGACATAATTCATTTGCTTGAAAAGGTAGAAGTCAATTCAACCTTTAAGCAAATACAAAAATCAATAATAAAATAAAAGAAAACATTTAGCCATCAAAATTAGAGAGCTAAAGAAACCATATTGTAAAACACAATACTTGCTACTACTAATTTACAACCCAATCTCAATGAGTCTACCAATTCTCTATTCACTTAATTTCTAGCAAAATTATTACCACACACGAGAAAAAAAACAAGTACAGTAGATAACAGGCGTGTTCGTTTTGACTCTCAAGCAAGAATCATAAATAGGTGATTGCTGCACTGTCCTTCCTGCTACATATATTATTCTTGATGACTTCTAGATTCATTCAATTGAACTCACGAGGACGAGAAACACCTTTAGGCACGACGACAATGAGCTTTACACATATGTCTACAATCATAATAACAAGGTCCTCCACAATGAAGAGGACAATCCAAACGCATTCCTTTGCATCTATTTTTAACCATGCATTGTGCAAATTCACCTATTTTGTAATCTTGATTATTGTTCACATGCAAATGTTTGTGATGATTATTATGCTCTTTTTGTTTCCTACATCCCCATGCCCACCACCCACCTCCACCTCCTCCCCAACCCCATCCACCACTACCTCCCATACCCCCACCCCCACTCCCACTCCCACCCCCTCCACCACCACCACCACCTCCTCCTTTACCATCGTTTCCACCCCCGCCTCCACCTCCACCACCCCACCAACGTCCACCACCACCACGACCTCCTCCTCCTCCACCTCCCTTATCCGTATCCTTTTTATCGATAACATCCCTAGTAATATTGTAGGAATTGTTGGCATTTGTTGGACCTTGAACATCATTGCTACTTCCATCTACATTTTCATCACCTCTCAAACACACCACAAAAGCAAAAAAGAAAAACAAGAATATTAACGAACTTTGACTAGTAGGAATACAATATTTCTTCATATTGTTGCTTTTGCTTGATTAAGATATTTGCACTATTGTCTTCCTTTTATAGTTGTACCTATAGGCAACTAGATATTGAACATATATTAGGTACCTACTTGGTCTTGTTCTAGTCATGTTGAAGCTATATATCAAAGTTCTAACGAACTATTGTTGACAAATATAATAAGTATATATTTCTAATATACAATTATTTAACTGCCTTGAATTTTACTCTGTCCCCACTATAACACAATTGAATGGTTGGGACTCATTTTTGGCTTGCATGAAAAGGGAAGGCAACTCATGAATGAGGATCCTAGCACTTTCATTTGCCTAACTTTTTATAATATATATAAACATAGCGTGACCAACATGTATAGAAAGTTTGGGCTTCATTAGGTTTTATCAATGGGGCCTACTAGTTTTCTTGTTGGTCCAAGCACTAGTTCGCGTTCAATATTTGTATTGGTATCTCAGTAAACTTAGATATGCGATATAGAAACGTCCATTTAGGGGGGAAACACTTTTTTATCTGAACTTTTTTCAATATCTAAATCAAATTTGAAAACTTTAAGTAAAACTGAAACATAAGTTTTCTTGTTGGTCCAAGTACTGGGTTATTTTTATTTGGTGTTTAGTATTTATATTGCTATACCCAATTAATTTAGATTTACGACAGGTAAAACTCATTTAAGGTGGAGACACTTTTTATCAGAATTTTCAATATCTAAGCTTGAACTTGCGAACTTTAATTAAAAGTAAAGAAATCTTATCCATCCTATTATAACTCTCGATAATTCAACCACTAATTCGTTGGCTGGTAAAGCCTAGCAACTTGAGTACATGCGTAATTACAACCTGAATCTAATGTGATGGTGGTGTTAAAATTTTATATGCTAAATTAATACTATTTTAATAGTACTAAATTTAAGCATCATTTACATATTGTGTATCGCAATTTGATGTATTTGAAAAATAGAATCGAATAACACTCTTATTTTTTACTGATAACATATTTATCGCCTTTTATTGTCCCATCTCATAGTAAGCTTCCTATTGGCTCTCTTTGCAGGTCGCATGCAATTCTTCTATATAACAATTAATTACTTATCTAATTACTTGCTACCATAATGATTTTTTTTAATTTGAGATTTCAAAAGTTACCAATAAATACAATTTTTAAAAAGTTAACCGCTCTGCCATTGAGCTAATGAAAAACAACAACAGATTCGATCTCATAAAGTTTAACTCCCTTAAAACTCATCATTTATAGGTCTATTTCTAAAAGTTGAAAGGCCGTTATAACCATAAAAGCTCGTTAATTTTTTTAAAAATATTTGCAAATAAAAATTATATACTTGTATATCTAAAATTAACTCAAGAGATATTACCACTTTACCCTCATTAATAGTGGAAAACAAAAATATGTTATTAGTCTTGTTTACTAAAATGGTCAAGGCATATTCGATTAGAATATTCCTTTTATTTTTTGAATGTGACAAATATTTTCTTTTTACCAAAGTGACATTATAAAAAGGACCATAGATGAAAAAAAATAACACATAAAAAATAACTTTAATGGCTTCCCAAATTACCCCTGCCTTTTACTTTCTCTTCACTACACTATTTTTCTCCATTAATTTTACTTCTACCATAGCTTATGAAACCTATACTATTCAATTGCACAACAAAATGACACAACCTGTAACAGTCCATTGCATGATGAATGGTAAAATAGATCTTAAAAAAAGGACCATAGGTGCTTTAATATTTATTTATACAATTTATGTTAAATATGCTCATGAACAAACTTATATTTTGTGTGATTTGTGGGCAGATAATAAAACAGGAACATTTGATGTATTTGATTATAAGAGAGATGAGTATCTTTGTGCTGAAAATAAACTTTGTTATTGGATTATTAAAAATGATGGACTTTGTCTTTATAAAAATAATAATGGATGTCTTGTTCATTTTGATTGGTATTGATTTAGGTTTCTAAGTGTTGTTTGTTGATTACGTAGTTAAATAGAAAGAAAGAATATGTATTCTAGATAGGATTTGGCGTATAACGAAAGTTTAGTGCAATGGACTGTCTTTTCCGCTGATTAATAAGTATTATGCTTATTATATAAAATAATATATGCTCTTTTCTTGATGTCGCTCTTTGTTTTGATTTTCCCTTCTATATATATATATACACATAACATTATTTATATAGCGTGTTTGATTAAGTTTTTAAAAAGTTTTTTTGTTTATTTTTTATTTTTTAAAAGCTTGTTTTTAGAAGTTTGAAGTGTTCGATCAAAAATTTATGAAAAAACATGTGTAACTTTTTTGTTAGTTAATTAATTATTTTTGCATTAGTGTTATGTCACCTTGTATATAAAATAAATTCCTTCATAATTTGTACATATTTTAATTATCTAGATTTTTAAATTGCAAACAAAACCTTATATCATTTTTACACATAAATGATTTACCTCTCAATCAATTACTAAACACAATATTACACGAATATCTACCAACTACTACCTAACACAATATTATTTATCTTACATCTAAACCAATTACCAACCATCCCAATATGATTTTTTTTTTCTATAAAAAGGACCAAAGATGAGAAAATAACATATAAAAAATAGTAATAATTTGATGGCTTCCCAAATTACCCCTCACTTTACCTTTTACTCCTCTCAATTTTATGTATAGCGAGAACTTAGTACAGTTGATTGCGGTTTTAATATATTTAACTCAAATTTATAATTTTTGTATCTTTTGTATAGGGTTCTATTTTCGATAAGTACATAGTTGTGTCATATCGTATCCGATCACCTCTCTATTTTTTTTGGCCTATATACTCTACCTAGCACTCCTTATACTCGCAACAGTCAACTTCTCACACCTCTTCATTGAAGGATATATGTTTGTATCTTCTCTTCACATGCTTAAATCATCTTAGTTACCTCACATCTTATTCATTACGGAAGTCACTCTTCGAAAAGCTTTATTCATGATTCTATCTCTCCAAGTATATCTACACAACCATCTCAATTTTCTCATTTTCTCTATTCTCATCTTCTGGACATGCAAATTTTTGATTGGTCAACACTCTGCCACATATTTAATAAGATAAAAGACCAACTATCAGGAATAAATTTCTTGTACTTTAAATATATATTTATAATTTTATTTAATTATAATATTTCTATTAAAAAAGAACTTTTTAATTTTTTAATTTTAGGTGTAAATTTATTCTTTCACTTCAAAATTATCTTATATATAATTTAGTCAAATTTTTATTTGTGTAGGATTTCCTTATACATAAAAAAGGTTTGATATTTCAAGATCAATATAATAATGTGTAACAGTACAATTCCAATATATAATATAGAAGATATGAGTGTTTGATTTTATCCTTAATTAACTCATAATTGATTTCCTTTTGACTAAAATGACTTATAAAAAGGTACCAAAAGAGGAGAAAATAACACATAATTTTTTTTTTAATGGCTTCCCTAATTACCCATCAATTTACCTTCTACTTTATCCTCACTACACTAATTTTCTCCATTAATTTTTCTTCTTCTATCGGTGAAATTTTTACTCCTAGAATTACAAATACAACACCAAATGTTGTAACAATTCAATGCAAATTAAATGGAATTTCTCTTAAGAAAGAGATAATTAATCCAATGGGGGATGTTTACAAAATTAGTGTTCCAATATATGAAGATAAAGAAAATACCCTTTGGTGTTCAATGTCAACAAAGGATAAATCAGGAAATTTTAAAATATTTGATTATAAAAGAGATCAAATATTTTGTGATGAGAATTATTGTGATTGGTTTATTAGAAATGATAAAATTTGTTTAATGGCTGTTGGTATATTAGATTGTGCTTTATCCTTTAAATGGTGATTTTATGTTTCGAATAATGAGTCATAATCAACTCGTTTGAATTATCAAATTTTTGTCTTACTGTTTCATTTTTTAAAAAAATATATAATAATTTATTTAATTGTATTAAGATAATAAATTATTTGACTGTGATAGAATAAATATGATTTCTCCATCTTTAATTAAATATTTTAAATTTGAGTCGTAGACATAAAAAATATCCCTCATATTGTCCAAAATCATATTAATTATTTTAATCGAACATTATATAAGAAATTAAAAAAATATTCATTATTATTGTTTATTTTGGCCACGAACAATATAATTCTTTATTAGTATGGACATTTCGATATTCATATTTCATACTGATCATTCTTTGTATTAATTTCTTTAATAGACTATTTTTCTTGGTTCATAAATCACAAATTAATGCAACAAGAAGAATCAAGTGAAAATAAGAAGCCATGCGATATTAAATTCTTTAATTAATAGGTTAAATTAATTTAATAAATATACGATATATACTACATTTAAGAATACGTATCACTTAATTATAATTAAGTAATATATAATATTATGTTAATTTATATCAATTCTTCTTCTGTCTATTTTTAATTGTCGTGATTTTCTTTTTCTAGAGTCAAACTCTAATAACTTTGACTGACATTTTTTCATCATATTAATATGCTAAAAAATTACAATTTTAGTACTTTTCATAGTCTTTAAATATCTAATTTTTTTTTGCTTAAAATACCAAAAATCTAATTTTATGTTGAAAATTAGTCAAATTAACTTTTAAAAAATCATTTAATTTTGTGATTCTCGAATTTAACTATTATTGACTTTATCTCTCATTATTTTTTCATTTACTAAACACAAGAAAACGTTCAAAAAACTTTATTACATTTTCCCATAATTTGTACATGAATTTATGAGTCATATACTATATAATTATCATCATATATCAATACTTTTATTTCATTCCCCATTTTATAAACAAATTTGATGGCTTTTCTTACCCATCAATTTGTCTTTTATTTTGTTCTAACAATTTTCTCCATTTTCATTTCTCTTTTAATAGCTGATGATTATGAAATGCATGTTGCAAATCAAACACCAGATATTTTAACCGCGGAATGTTTTATGGACGATAAATCGTTAGGAAAACAAACAATTAAATCAATGGAGATTTACAAATTTAATGTAACTATTGATGGTGAAAACACAAAAGACGTTTGGTGTCCAATGTGGTTAGGGAAAAGGCCTGGATTATTTAAGATATTTGATTATAATAGAGATCAATCTAATTGTGGTGATCAAGTTTGTCATTGGTATGTTAAACAAGATGGAATTTGCCTTTTTAGTGTTTATCAATGTGTTGTACACTATAATTGGGCATGGTGAAATATTAATTAAATTACGTGGGATAAAGTTCATTTAGTTTTTTATGATGTTTAGAAATTTTAATGGTGTTTTGAAGATGTTATGGTTTGCTAGACTTGGATGTATAACGGAAGCTTAATGTATCAGGTTGTCATTTGTTGTACAGGTTTGCGGCTATATATGATGATTTTATCTTTTTTTTTGTTGTATTTCTTCTGTCTCATTTTATATGATATTTTTGATTTTTGAGACTGAAATAAATCTATCTTTGACCGTAAGTTTTTTATTCATTTTTTAAACATTTTGAATTATCAACTATTGTGACTTATATTACTTTTTATGTAGTTTACAAATATATAAATTTCATTATAAAAAATTGAAGATTTCATGTGTGAATTATAAAATACCAGATATATGATTGAGATAATCGTACCTTATAAATAACTTGATTGTATAACAATATTTTTTTTTTACTCTAAAAACATGGAAGTTTCCTACATAATCCTCTTCTTATTAGCTATTTTCTACTCAATTTCATTTTCAAGTGGTCTACCACCACTTATGATAATCAATCATGGCCGTCAAAATTTATCGATAAGATGTCAATCCAACGGCTATAGTTACACAGATCAGATGATTAGACATAATGATGCTTATGATCTTAATAATGTATCTTTAGGGAATGGTACAATAGTTAAAGCATGGTGTACAATGGTATTAGGAGAAAAATGGGGATTTTTTGAAGTGTTTAATACAGGAAGAAAAAGTTTGTTTTGTGTTGAAGGAAATTATTGTGGTTGGTTTGTAAGAGAAGATAGACTTTGTTTGTCTTCTAATCCATTTAGTGGATGTATTAAGAAGTATTTTTGGCCAAAGTTTGAATAATTATTAATATCGTAATGTGTTTTCTCGAGTAATATGACTGTTTTTACTACTGTATTATCATTTTTGTATATTTGATTATTTTATCTGAGTCGAGGTTTATTGAGAATAAAATTGTATGTACATATTTTTTTCAAATCTCACTTGTGAGTAGGACTGTTTAATACCGAATCGAATTGATAATCTGAACAGAAAAATAATAATTTGTTCATCGTTAGTGAGTTGTTGGTTTAACGGTTTTGATTTATTTTTTATTATCGGGTTAGCGTTCTTAATAGTTTCAGTATTTTTCTTAATGTGTTAATTGATAACTCGATAGTAAATTAATAAATTATATTTATACCGTTTGATATATAAAGTCCTTAACTTAGGATTTAGTTTCTTGTTTTTATTTTTAATAGTCTCAAACCTTTGATTATTCTACAATGTGTTAGTGTTGTTTTTGAAAAAGATACAATCGATCAACTCATGTGCATGATTTATTTAGTTTGTCACCATGTTATTAAGTGATTTTCAAACATTTACTTTTTGTGTCAAATTATAATAACGATCTATAATCAATAATCGATGAGTCAATATATCAATAATTCTTAATAATTTAATATGTCTATAAATAGATAGTCGATAAATCAAACTAATAAACTTTAAAATCGAACCTAAATACTGAATTTGTTACTGTTCATGTCTTTGTCTTTAATTTGGTAAATTGTTTTTACAATAGCCCCCTTGATCTTAAAGCACTTACATACTACTAGAAATTTTAATTAAATTTTAAAATATCGAAGACAATCCACAGCAGTATAAATTGTGACATATTTTTTTGGTAATTAAAAATTTTTAGTAGTGATATTTTATAATTAAAATTCATGCACCTCTCTTTCCTTTTGATATTAATTTCGGTTTCATGGTATATTCCCTTTTTCATGTATTTCCTACACGAAAGCTTACAAATTTATAGTATAATTTTTAAATATTTAAATTATGAAATATTAATTTAATTAATTTTAAAACTGAATTAAATTAACTTCTAATAAATAAAGAAAAATATGAAAATTAGTTTGGGATGATAATATATGATAATCAGTCGTTTACATCAAATCAATAAATACATAATAATATTTGCACGTAAAACTAATAAATTAATTACCAAAAATAATTACATAATACTTATGAGATTATGCTAAAATGGAAAAAAAAATATTTACTTCCTTAATAATGAGATTATTATTTTTCCTTTCACACAATCAATTCACTTATAAACTAAATTACACACCAAATCAAAACCATTATTTTTCAAAATTAAAAAAAAACACCATGTTATCTTCCCTCTTCACTCACTCCACATTATTCCATCTCATTTTACTAATTTTTTCTCCATTTTCAATTTCACAAAAAACCAAAGAACTTAGAATTCACAATTATGGTACTGCTGGAGTTTTGAATGTAAGATGTATGTCCAATGGTTATGATTTAGGTCAACAACAAGTGCCATTTTATTCATCATATGCATTTAACCCTAATTTAAATAAAGATTTGTTAAGAAACAAGAGTACAACATGGTGTTCTTTGCAATTAGCTTCATTTTGGGGAATATTTCTTATGTATAATGATAATAGGACTGAATATTCATGTAGAGGTAAAAGTTGTACTTGGTATGTAAATGCTGATAGGCTTTGTCTTTGGGATGATCTAAGTGATTGTAGTGTTGTGTATAATTGTTCTAGTTGTGCTAGGGCAAAACATTGGCCATTATTGGCTTGAGTTTTTCATTAATCATTCTAATTAATGTCTTGTGTTCTATTGGAATTATCAAGAAAATGGTAAGATTTACTTTGATTGTTTAGAGTATTCTTTCTTTGGTGTCTGAAATTTATTGACTCGACTAATTCAAATTCGCATCATGTAAACCCTAGTTTATGGGGGAAACACCCCTTTAAAAAAATTGCTTCATTCTTATAATTTCGAGTTTTATTAAGGACAGAAGAGTCATAATTCATTCATCTACTGATCTTTCTTTCATGATCGAGTGAACGACTAAAAACATACCTAAAGTATTATGATTAATTATTTGAATTTTATATCTAAACTAAAATGCATGGGATTTCTTCGATACTCCGTTGAATAAATTCATCATAAAATATTAGTTTTCTGTAAACCTTACCCTTACCTCGAACGATTTTTGCAATACTTTTTTATGGTGAAGTTTTAAAATTAAGAGAGGAGTGCTTTGCACATATGAAGAAAATAGAAAGGGAGGAAGAATATTTGCACAATATTTCTTTAACGCCATGAAAAATTACATTAAGTGTCCTAAAAATCGATTTACACTACATGAAAAAAAATGGAAGAAATTGGGGTCTTAGATAATATTGGATATGTACTTTTACTATAAGATATATTTACATAAAATAGATGTATATCCTAGATACATGTGAATACACAAGATATATATATCTGGGATACCAGATGTATCAAGATATATGTGAATCTCTTTAGATGTGATGTATATGAAAAAAAATTACATTAAGTGTCCTTAAAATAGATTTACGCTACATGAAAAAAAATGAAAGAAATTGAGCTCTTAGATATATCGGATATGTACTTTTACTATAAAATACATTTACATAAGATAGATGTATATTCTAGATACATGTGAATACACAAGATATATGTATCTGGGATACCAGATGTATCCAGATATATCTATGAATCTCTTTAGATATAATGTATTTGAAGAAAAAAAATTACATTCATTTTGACCCATATATCTAAAATACATGAATTTGGACATTTGACGATCCAAATTTGGCATGAAATGACAACTTTGAAAATTGAGGAGAAGACGCATAATTAGGTCTCCAAATTAATGAGATTTTGTTGTTTATGAAATAAACAATAAATATTTGTATATTTATAAATAATATTACTAAGGTTAAAATAAAATTATTTTCAAAATATAAAAAAAAGAATCATTTTATTAGGACAAACTAGGAAAGAAATTAAAGTGCTATCACATGAATTAATAGATAAATAAAAAAGATATAGTACTTTTTAATTTTCGGCTAGTAGCAATAAATGATGTTTACTCTTTTTGTTTGAACAATTTATTTAATTTATTTTTGTATAATTAATTACTAACTCCAATTTTTAGTCAATGCACAACTACTATAAATTGGAACCAAATCAACACAAAAATAAAAACCAAAACACACACAAAAAAAACCAATAACATGACTTCCCCATTGTGTCAAGTCTTTATCCTTTGTTTTGTACTTAGTTTTTCCTCAACTTGTGTTAATTCAGTTATCTTGTTTGACTATAAAATTTCGATAAAAAATAAAGCTTCAGAAACAAATGAGGTTCATTGCATTTTGAGAGGAGAAGATCTTGGTGTTCATCCTTTTAATCCAAATGATTTTTATGAAGTTGATATCCCTATAGTTGTTAAAGGCGATAATAGCGTCTTTTGTGACGTTAAATTGATAGTTAAACAATTTAAACATGGTAATTTTGAGCTTTTTAACTTTGATAGAGATAAAGATAGTTGTGACGATAACAACACTTGTCATTGGGAAGTACAAGATGGAGGATTGTGTTTGGCTGTTGGAGATAAATGTAATTTGTTCTTTTATTGGAGCAATTAACTTTGATTGATCGAATCAATTTTATATAAAGTTAAGTTGTTAAAAGACGTATATATGTATATGTATTATATAATTAATCGTGTAATTTTCTAATAAAGAGGATTCCGATAAATTCCCTAGCCTCCACCCCCTTGATAGTGTTAATCCATATGACATATATGAATCCGTAGAATATTTAATTTATAAGATCCATTAAAATTAGTGGACTTTAAACATGGATTAAAATCAATATTAACTCAATAAATATACAATGTAATTAAATCTGAGATTTTTATGAATTTTCATAATTTAGGTATATTACATAATGAGCTTCTATAAATGGTATAATTATATTATTTTTTCTTTATATGTGATTTTTCTTTAATTAGGTATGTATTTAATAAAGAAAGGAATAATATTGAATTTTAAAAAAAGAATATCATTATTTGTAAGACATTAATATAGAAAATACATTATATAATGGATAAGAATATTTTTAAATTTTACATAGACTTTTACTTTATAAATTGAAAATAATTATATTTTTATATTTAGTCAAAAGAGAAAAAAATAATCAACACATATTTTTGCTATAAAATTGGAGTAACATCAACACATACACACACAAAAAAAAAGTATTTGACACACCCCAAGAAAAACATGACTTCTCCATTGTCTCAAGTTTTTATATTTTCTTTTATGCT